GCGAGTGTCAACTATAGGTCGACGTACGACAGCGTACAGGCGCACGAAATGATGGATTCCATGGAATTATTTATCTATTATATTAATGAAATTGGTGAGTGTATGTAATTTAAAAAAAAATCATACTTCGTACACCATGTATATCTCTTATTTTACCTATGTCTGTCTGTATGTCAGGTCGCAAGGTCGTGTTTGTTTTGGGTAATCTCTGGAACGGCTGCACCTATAATCACGGGAAGGTAGTTGGTGCTTTTATGTTATTTTTTTATGCTGCGCTGACGATGTCTCAAGCGGCTACTACTAAGTGGACAAATTTGATGATATACATACAGTTTTGTTTTAGGGTTTCTCTCAATTTACGAGAATTGCCAATAGTAGATTATAATATGGTGTTGCGGCTGAGAACGTTAGCAAAAATACTTGATATGACTTCATATACTCTGACAATGTCGATTGATAAATTACAATTTAACCAAATTATAATGGATACAAGTGTCATTATTTCTTTCGGCTGTACATACGCACGTGCAAGGACGGCAGGTCGGCGACCGACGCCTGCGCAGCCTCCGCGTCCCCCGCACAGCCTCCCTCTCCTTTCCCACTGCGTTCCCTCTGCGCGGGAAACTCGCTCTAACGGCGAGTCGGCTCTGACTACATAATATTCTCGAATATTAACAGTAGACTAGATATATACAGGATATGTATAAAAATATGTTTTTTTTTTAACTTAACATAGCTCTGTTTGAAAAAGTGTAACATATACGGAACCCAAAATATCGAACCTTAATATCTATCAGAATTATAACAATGATTCGTTGGCCTCTTATGCGATAATTTAGGATTTTTAATTAGTGTTACGAACCTTAGAATTAGTAAAAATATTAATTGACCTTGAATATAAGGCAAAATATCTGAAGCTAGTTTTCATCCACCCACTGTGTATAAGGGTCTCCTTAAACTTAAAAACTATTTACTAAGGGACCCCTAAAGGACAATGTGTAAGCGTCCACACCCACCTTGCAATCTGACCATTTTGTACTATCGCGACATTTGTCGTAGAAATGGCGTATTAGAGCTATTTAAATTTTAGCGAATGTCTTTTGTTTGACCAGAGATGTTTGTTGAAAATGGCCTGCGATTAAAGTTAAAAAATAGTCAAAACTTTTTATGCTTAAACTGTCGACAAATAACTAAAGAACACCTGATTATTATTAAAGGTAATCATGGGTGGTCAGGTGACTAATTTTACAAAGAAACAAAATATAAAAGAGAATTGTGTTATTTGGCAAGACAATCGTTCTGTGAAGTCGGCATTTGTCATTGTGGCCTGTTGAAGTATTTCGCTTATTCTGCAACTCTCCAAGGGTCGTATGTTCAATTCTGAGATGTGATGATACTCAATTTTATGTTTATAAAAATAAGGTGTTTGTCGATAACAATGAATTCTGTTTGATCTATTTTAAATTGGAAATTACATACTGTATTAGCCACGTGTATATAGGTATAGCGTCGGCGGCTCAGGGGTTAAGCACATGACTTGCAATCTGCAGATCCTGTGTTTGAATCCCACCATGTAAGAATGTGTTTTTTGATTAACATATGTATATGTATATTCAACGTTCTTACGGTGAAGGAAAACATAGCGATGCAATCTGCAGAAATTCAAAGATATGTGTGAAGACAACCTGCACTGGGCCAAAGTGGTTGACTATGGCCTAGTCACTGACTTAGGGTAGACTCCAAGCCTCTCAGTGGGGACATATACTGAGCTGATGATGTATATAGGTCAATCCAATTATTAAATAATTTTAGTTTCTATACTTTATATATGAGGGATTGTGTTAAAAATGTCATAACCAAGAAGGGTGTGTGGATAAGGGGTAGGTAGATAGAAACTAGTTGTAGAGACGAGAATTTAAGTTGTAAAATTACTTACGATTTAATTTAAGTAACTAATTGATAGTAAATATACAAATACGTAGTCATAAAAGTCTGTCATATTTTAAAAAGTTGTGCTATAAATTGGCGCTATTTTAATTTTCGTTTTTTTTTTTTAATATTACTTATAATTTAGTAATAATTATAATTGACCGTGACAAAGAAATCGAATCTCGTATAATAAGTTCGCTTGAACGAAAGCGACACGTAATACAGTAAGCAATGGTGATTGAATAGAAATAGTTGCTACAGGGTGTTACATAAGTGACCACAATTGTCAGGCAACTTGGACAACTGGACCGGAACGTTGATTATACAGGTTGTTCCGAATCAATTGTATCCGATTGTAATTTAAAATTAATTACAGCTTAAAATTAAATGGAGTTTTATTAAGATCGTCGGAATTAACCTAATAGATATTTACAGAACTTAGAATGTTTTTTCATAAATATATTATACCTTAATTCAATATATTATGCAATCTAAAGTTTAAAATTAAGTGCACGTTTTTGATTAATATAATTAATAATAAATTTATTTATTTTACTTATAATTCAATAAATGTATTATAAATAATAATTTTTTCTTGTCTCTAAGTATTTTCAATCATTTTCTACTAAATACTAAATTAAATACTAAAAACTAAAGATATTTATAAATCGCAACATCCTGTATCTACCGCGCAAGACCTGACCACCGGTTTACGCAAGCCGTGCAAAATGAGAAGAATCGAAACACCTCTATCTACTTCCCGACTATTTTATGTCATCGCGCCCCAATTAATTTGGTTTTGGATCTTTTTTAAACATTAATTTCAGAGTATACTTTACTCATTAATGAACTTCATTAAATTTGATATAGTGAAAGCATTCAGTATTCATGTTTTTTTATATATCATAAGGTGGCAACGAGCGAGCGGCCACCTGAAATCGCTGAAATAGCAAAGTGACAGTTGCCCATAGATATACGCAATTGCATATGCGTTGCCTATCTTAATCGACGGAGGAGAGGATGCTCAGAAAGAAAATGTTTTCCCTTCCCATGAATCCTCTCATCCGGAGAGTCCACTTCCACTTCTCATCCTTTCCTTATAAGAGGCCTCCGGGACGCACACTCATCAGACAAAACGCGGAATAGCTTCCACTTGACGCCTGTCTTCTGTGTGGTCGTGGTATTTCATCGGGCGAGTCGGGACAATTCGCGCGAAGATGTTAAAGCGGGCTCTACCACTGTTATTGTTATTTAGAGACAAAAAAAATATCTAAAACGTTAAACGATTTGTGTCCATTTTTTTACATAAAAAAATTGGTCAAATGCACACTACACAAGTTAGGTATATTGAAATTATTTGAGGTAAAAATACGTAAAAAACTTTATAAAATAACTCAATTTATCAACCTTTAAAGTAGTCGTTATCCAATAAAATTAAAATGTGTACATTAAAAAAAATACTTTAAAATCAAAAATATTCCGACTCGAAGGACCAAATTTAGTTTCCACGACCAAGTCTTTTGTATTGCGCCATATTATATCATGAATGAACAAAGTAATTTACGCAGATTATAAAAAATAAGATAGTTGATGGTCGTTGCACGATATGGAAATCAGTGGCCTCTTAGGGAACACCCCAGGTGTGTGAACACATCGTTTACGAGGTCTAGGACCTTATGACTGATAAATGTTAAACTATATGACTAAAAGTTATCTTATTGCTAGACGACAGACTTGCTTAGTAGCCTATGTGTTCTTCCAGATTTTGTTCAACATCTGTGGCAAATTTGATTAAGTTCCGTTGAGCGGTTCCAAAGACACCTTCTAAAAACATCCATCCATCTAAATATTGTCGCATTTTTTAAATTTACTTTTTACTAAAATTTATAGATGGAATAATATTTATTTCTATGGAAAAATGTTTTTTTAGTTCTCTTTATTTCCTTAAGTATTTCGATGGTTAAAAAAATTGCCGATTCATAACAGTAGGAGATCTGAGAATTAAAATTAAAAATGCAGTCTGTTGACCTCGTTGTATGCATTTTTATCAGACGTTGCAGTTTGCTATCGTGCGATGATCTCTTCGTTTATTTTTTCCTGGACTTGCATTGATAAGCAGTATTTGCATTGCAAACGTTAGTGAGATAAAAATGTGATTAACCATTTGCTCAAAGGAATTTTCATCGGAGATCAGATTTTGTGAGTAGCGACATCTAGGTGTGGCGCTTAGGAAACTACTCAAGGCTCAGCGACTTGTTCATTTGTTCTTAATTTTTATTGTTTCGACCAAAATGATTTTGTTATTATTATTAATTTATGTATTAAGGCGTTAAAATTGAATTGAACTATGAGATTTAAATTTTAAACTACATAGCAAAGATATATAAGCGAAAAATGAAAAAATGATATATTATGGGTCTAGTTTACTTAGACTTACGTATATTTATTAAATGCACAAATTACAATATCATCAGTAGTTTTGGTTTTCTTACATAAATAAAAAAATCTTTTAACTCAGATGTATTTAAATAAATTTGAATATGGAACAAGTTTTCACTTTCGTACTTCTGCATTTTAATGTACATAGTTAATGTATTTTGTAGATTTCGTAATTTTATAAAATTGTTCTTTCCTATATATACTTGTTGATTTATGATAATGGAACACGGTAATTGGAAAAATATAAAGTTTTTTTTTAGCTTGTAGTTGACTTACGACATCTAGCGAGGAGTAGCGTAACTAATTACTCGCAGCTTTCACTTTATTACCACAGATGGCGCTGACAAATATGAATAGGATGGATAAAATTTTTGTTTTAGATTCAGATTTTAACTTTCTGTAGAAATTATTAAGCTTGTACAATACACTAAAGATGGCGATCTTTAGTGTATTGTACAAGCTTAAGGCGATCAAGAGGATGAAAACATGGTCCATCACCATTAAAGACAGGAAAATAAAACATGATGTTTTCTTTGTTAGTTTATTACTGTAGTTTAAAAACAATTTAAAAACTTGGATTACAATATCAATAAAGAATTTCAAGTTACACTTAGATACAAAAGAAAAAAAATTCAAGTGATAAATGCTATAAGATCCTTCATACTAGTTTTCCTACTTGAATTTCTGTACCCGACATCTTCGTCTTTGTTTTCATCCATGATTTCTTGGAGAGCCATCATTCTAAGTAATGCCTCTGCCTCATTATCCTCACCATCTCCTAGTATTCTCTCGTTAATCTGATTGGTCAGATTAATATCGTCCATTAAACTGTCATCCAAAACACTATCATCAGTGACGTCATCGTTGTAATTTCTTCTATACCTTCTTCTCAGATTGAAGCCAGCTTCTTTTAGTTTTCTCTTAGCTAACTCCAGGAAAGTAGGAGAGCTGAGGGTCTCTCGTAACCAGTTCTTGATTTTATTCTTTTTGTCTTCAACTTGAGCTTTGAACCTGTTAGAAAGTCTGCATGTATATAAATGCAATTTTAAATGTATTATAAATTTGAACCTTATTACAGCTACGGATAAGAGTCCAATTCGCACAGAAAGGGACATTTTAAAAGAGTAAAGTTAAAAAGGCGTAAAAAGTTAAAATTAACCTTGTTTCTTATTCAGCTTAATTTTATTTGCGACAAAAAAGTGCTCTACTCTCCGCTCCGGTCTATGAGAGCATGCGGACATGCGTCCAAGCAGTCGTGAGTTCGAATCCTTCCATTCCTTTACTGTCTTGAACAAGACTAGAGCTTAGTTGGAACGGTTACAACAAGAAATCAAAGTACTTACTTCTGCAATTCTTTCTCTCGTTGTCTTGCTTTCAATATCTTAGGCACTAGTTCGGGCACGTTGCTGGCTTCGTTCGCCGTGATTGTGGATTCCACCCACGATGTTATTTCGGAGACGCGACTATAGACGCCCGGGGATTGAGGGTCGCCACATTTCTTACCACCGAAGGAGACTATGCCTAACAGTATACCGTCACGTACTGCTGGACCGCCAGAATCGTGCTGGAATAGAGAACATTTTATCATTACATTAACTATAGCCCACGATTCCATAGGGAAATTAAAAACTTAATTAGTCTGCGTTCTTTTAGGCTATTTCTACGTCAATGCCAGGTTTCATCGAGATCTATGCAGTCGTTCTGATGATAACTTCTAACAAACCATTGTCATTGTCCTATATTGACGAAGTAGGTTGCCTTCACCATAATATTTACCAGCATTAGTAAGGGACTATAGTTTCCACATCTCCACAATAAGCGCGTATTTTCCAAAAAAATATGGATCCCTTCAACCAACTGAGCTTGGTCGCTTCTCATTAATTTTTAAAAACATTTGCTAGTAACTTTTATAATTTTCTAGAACACGTTAGAAGAAAAGAACTATCTCTTCCTAATTTAACACGTTAATCGTCGTTATAAATATGTCCCATTGAATAAAAGTTATGTTATTTTCTTACATTACAAGCATCCTTGCCGCCGGTGGCGTATCCTGCGCAGACCATGCGCGGTGTTATGTAGAATCGGTACGCGTGTTGGCACTCGTCAGCAGCCATAACTGGTACAGGAACGAACCGCAACCGGTCTGGGATGTTGCCGTAACCTGATTGCTGCATTCAATCTGAATATTACTAAGACCCTTTTCCACTAAACCACTTTTAACATCGAGTAGTAGTATAATTAAATACATTGGTGATAAAACACGAGCGACAAGAGATGCAATCGACGATGTCTTTAGTGTCCCATAGACAATATTTTTTTTATAATTAGTTAAAAAATAAATCTTCCAAAAACCGGTCACACCCAAAAATATTGTACTTCGATTTTTGAAAAGATTCATTAAGTACCGTGCTTATTTACTATACTTAATTAACTTAAAGGTCTAAAAATAATTAAATTACACAATACTAACATCAGTACTTCCCCAGCCGGTAACAATAAGAATATCATCGGTCTTGATCTGGTAGTCTCTGGAAGGCAGATTGAGGACTGCGATGTTCCTACCGATAGGCATCGGCCGGTCTAGACGCGCGAGAGAAAAGTCGAAGTCAGCATTGCCAGGCACGTAGTTGGACGGGAAAAACGCCTGATAAAAAATGTACAAGTAAAACAAATTTCTTTAGAACGCCTGGCGAAAAATATTAGTTAAAATCTCATTTTGAATTTTTGCGGCCATTTTTGCAGTAATAAAGCATTACTACTGTTATTACTTGTCGAATTTGTGTTATTAGAGTTTTCACTCCCGAAATAATAAATCGTACAAAACATATTGTAATTCTTCATATATCATCAGATTGTGACGTCACCTTATTTATCCTCGCCTGGTAGCCGCCGCGGTTGTGGAACGAGCTGCCCGCTCTAACGATGTAATTTATTAGTTTCTTTTGATCTCCGTCATGTGCTCTGCAAAAGAAATTCACTATTAAATTGAATAAAAATTGTATAAAATGATTTAAGCTTTGGTTGAAAGCAATACAAACAAGTAGCCGACTGTCTGCTGGACGTTACATGCTGGATTGGATAAGGAATCCAATCGTAGAGTTTTAACTACGGATCATCGGATCCAATGCGTTCGTTGGGAGATTCGAAGACTCTCGTCAGTTGCAATCAAGCATGGCCACTGAATGTGTTTTAGTCAGTCTCACACGACCCTATTTCCTTTCGTGGAAGCTATCTTTTAAAGATTCACCAGTATAAAAGGAGGAGGTAAATGCTACGAAGCATTTACTTTAGCCTAAGCAATATTTGAAAGTTCTAGAATGTTATATTTACGATTCAAGGCAATGTCCCGCGGTGAATATCCACTGTTCATCGATGACGGAGCCTCCGCACCAGTGGTTGCCGTTCCTGGAGATGGCGACGTTATACGGGTACATACTGATACTGGTCTCCATGCCCCCGACAATGCGACGCGCCGCGTACGAGCGGAAAACTAAAGCCAACTGTTTTTCGTCATGAGACTCTGAAATACCTAAGAGATATTTTGGTTTTGTTGGAAAGGCCTTAGACTTAAGATAAATAATTTATAGAAATTAAAGATAGATTGCTTCTGAAGAAAAGTTTTTGTTGTAAAATCACCATGCTAGAAAAACGGCAAATATATTTTATTTTAAGCATTTCTAACAAATTGAGAGTCTAGCAATATTTATATTACATCAAAGGTTTTACTATATCACTAACTATCGCGCGCTACTCCGTCCGTAAATTATAAAAAAAATAAGTAGCCTGTATGTTCTTCCAGACTATCTTCTACATCTATAACAAATTTCATCAAGATCCATTAAGCCGTTCCGGAGATACATTCATCTTTCGCATTTTATAGTATTAGAAAGATTGTTCGGAAAATAAGCAAAATTATTACAAACCCGTGGAATGTCTTTCATCCCGAGTTATTCTATATCTAGTTGATGTTTCATCGTTAGTAAATTTATACCTCGCTTCCAACAAAGCCTTTATCTCTTCTCCACTATCAACATCTTTCTTATTATCAACATTCACTTGATCTATCTCTTTATTTCTTAATATCGGCTTATCGTGAAATACCTCTCCGTCTATTTCTATAACTTTAAAACTTACTACTTTATTAATTAACAATACAATTAAACTAAATTTAAAATACCATCCTAAATAATTTAATGGTATATTCATTTTTTTCTTGTTTTTATCATTTTAATCAACACACGGTTTCCGTAACTTGTAAAGATTAAATTTTGTTTTCATATAACTTTATGAGGTTATTTAACGAGCTTGTATGTCGTAAAATCGAATGGCTTATTAGATTCTGAATGTTGAATTATATTACATTTGTATGTGCTACTGTGTTTTTGTATTGTGTGTTATTTCCTAAATATAACAAATATAAATATTTTAAACGCTAATAGTGAATACATTTTATACAATTTCAATTAAGTTTACAAGAATTTGAAAAAAATCTAGCCTATGTCACTCGGACATAGTGTTGCTTTCCAACAGTGATATATTTTTTTAAATCCGTTAAGTAGTTTTTGAGCCTATTCAATGCAAACAAAAAATAAATCTTTCATCCTTGTAATTACTTCTTACTAATATTATAAATGCGAATGTTTAGATGGATGTTTGTTTAAAGGTATCTTGAGAACGGCTGAATAGATCAGAAATTTGGTATAGATGAAGAACAAGGTGTGGAACATAGGCTACTAATAAAGTTTTTAAAAATTCCGCGCGGACGATCGCGTGCGAAAGTTAGTAGTAGTATAGATGTAAAATTAAAAATGAGAATTGAAAATCTGCCTCCCATATACGTTTTTGTTTTTATTATTATATTTATTTTTAATGTTTATTGGACACAGGTAGAACTTCAGAAGCTGGAAAACTGTACTTTTCCAGTATTTATAAGTTATATTGTATTATGTTAAAAGAATTATTTATTAGCCGCTGTCCTGATAAATGTGAGTTAAACATTTATTTTTGTGTGTGACCGCAGAATACTTTAAAAAATAGATACACGTAGTCGTAGTTGATTTTTTTTCTATGTGATGGCAATATGGAGTTTAGTTGAAAATAATTAAAAAAAAATAGCTAAAAAACTGAATTACGAAAAGTGTGGCAGAATGGTTAAGATCTTTGCCTTTTGAGTTATATTTTGAAAAAAAAATCGTTTGATGTAGCATTGACAGTAGTGGCAGAATGAACAAAACCTTTGTCTCACATGTCAGTCAGAAAATGTCATTTTAATTGACGGTTGTGTATTGATTTTTTGAAATTTATATATTTTTACTCTTTAAGTTTTTAATATTAATAAAAAAATGAGATGACATCCGCACATGCGACTCTAGTTGCTTTATCTTTATTAATTAATAACATAACATATTTATACGATAGTAAGTTTGGAGTTATTTTATTTGAAACTAGCTGTCGTCCGCGACTCCGTCCGCGCGGAATTAAAGAAAATTAATAATTACCCTATATGTTCTGAAGTTACTTTCAAACAAACATCCATACCTCTATCCATCTAAACATCCTACGTCCTCGATCTACGAAAGGATTTTTCACAATTTTACCTTAAACTAACTATCCCCCGCGACTCCGTCTGCACGGTATTAAAAAAAGATGTTGGCCGATTCTCAGACCTACTCAATATGCTCACAAAATTTCATGAGAATCGGTCAAGCCGTTTCGGAGGAGTATGGTAAAGGAAATTGTGACACGAGAATTTTATATTTAAGATTAAATTGTGTTTTTTACAGAATCTGTAACTGACGATACGCTATTTACAACAAAAATAGTTTTTATACTCAGTGTATGTTTGCTATTACATGAAATACCAATTCTGCCGAGATATTTCTGGAATAGAAACACAACAATATCCTTTTTAATAGAGGTAACTATACGTACTTTTAAAATTTCACTTTGCACATCTAATCTAATCTAGTCTAATTTAATCTAATCTCATCTTAGAAACCGTTTCTATCTTACTTTACAGGTAGCAATATCTTTAGCTGTATTAGAATATTC